TATAACAGAGAGTCTGTAGGTTAAGGTATATTTTAAGGAGAATAAATCCACCTATTTTATATACATGCATAATTTGATGAATTTTGTTAATTGATACCATCATGAAGTATCACCACTGTAATGATACAGAACATTTCCATTATTCCGGTGAGTTCTCATGTCCCAGCTCCAGTGAACTATTAGACATGAACTGCTAAGATTTCTGTCACACTGCTTTAATCTTTCTAGAATTTCAGATAAAGGGAATTATATGATACACGGCCTGTGTCAGTCAGACCTTACTGAGGACAGGAGATTTGTATACACACACACACACACACACACACACACACACAGAGTATACAGATAAATACATATACACATATACACAGTAGTAAATTATAGGTGTGCATATGTATATATGAGACAAAGATATGAGAGAGAGAGGAGAGAGGGATTTGTTTTAAGGAATTGACTGTATTAATTAAAGGGTTGATAAGTCTGAAATTGGCAAGGCATCCTGTCTGTGGCTGAATGTTCTAACAAAAGTTGAGTGAATTAAATAAACTCTTTAGCCCAAAGCATACTAGAGGCAGTGTCTTTCCTTTTTTGGTGGGGGGGGGGATTCCACCACTTTGGATGGGGGCTCAGCATTTTCTCCTACAACTGTACTCAAAGTATACTGATTTACTAATCTAAATGTTAATTCCATCCAGAAAAACACCTTCAATCTAATGGGTGTTGGACCCAATACAAGGGCCCCATAGTCAAGTCAATGCACAAAATTAATCAGCTCCCAACCTTTTGTGTTTGAGTTCCTTCACTAAAGCAATGTGCTCACAAGACTTTTCCCTGCTGTTACATGAGTTATTAACACTTAATTCTCTGTATTGTCCAGTTGCGTCCATAGAATGAATATCCTACAATTAACTCTCCATTCACTAGTTGATGAACATTTGGCTTCTTTTCAGCTTCTGTCTAATGTGGAAAATGCTGCTGTGAACTGTGACAATCAGATGGCTTTTCATATAAGTTTTTGAGTAGCATTAATATGGTTGATTTTACTCCATATATTCTGCACACAAACGTCGAATGTTTCTGTTGCCCTGTAGCATTTACAGAGTATGTTTGCATTTGTTGCTTCATTTAATCTCCACCCTATAATTAGTCAAGTAATAAAACATGTAAAATAGTACTTTTTGTACGTGTTTTTACAAGTTGGCTCATTTAATATTTACAACAGTTCCAGCATCTAAGTACTTCTAGATCCACTTTAGATATGACAATTTTGAAGTTTGGGGTATGCAGAGATTGACCTAGAGATGACTGTGGTGGGGGGTTACAGAACTGGGGACTCACCACAATATTCTGCCTCCAAGCCTGGTAACCAGAGGTATACTCAGAAAAGGATAAAATTATGATAAAATGTTGATAGTCCCGTAGGGACTTTAAATCTAACTTAAAGCCTGCTTCCTGGTGTTAAAGAATTTCTCTGGGGAGCTTTGGGCATCAGAGTTCACCATTTTATCTCATGGTAAGACCATCCTCATCTGGTGTCTTTTATGGAATTCTGATATCCATAGACCAACAACACAGTGTTACTCGGCGATTGTTAGGGCAAATAAATAATGCCCATATTTTTGGATTCTACAGTCATAATAACAGGCATTTTTTTCCCCATAAGCCCTTTTGAAAGGGAGCCTTTACATGTTTCCATGAAACCCTGCAAAGTAGAAAATTTAACAAATCCTTTCAGTAGATGCTAAATACCATCAACATGTGAATCATCTTTAAATCATTTCCTTAACAATAGCTACATTGGGAATGGTACAAATTACTTGGCTAACAGAGAGCCGGAGAACGCCAGCCTTCTGATAAACCAGCAAACCCAGACCAAGTCAGTGTGGCTGTGACTTCAGGCTTGCTTGGGGCTGGGAGGGCGTCAGTGGGTTCCAGTACCTGTGAGAGCGCGCAGGCCACACCCAGTTGCTCGGTCTGCTTCTCTGAATCATGAAGGTGGACTGGGCTTAGCGCTGAGGTTGAGCTTGGGTCCAACCGCCAGACTGGACACAGTCTGGTCAGTCACCTCGGCTGCTGCTGCCCTCAGAAAGCGTGAATAATAGAATCCTGGGCTTGGGAGCCTCTGCTCGAGCTATTTCTGTGTGTAGCTAATCCCTGGCTGCAATACCAAGGCTGCTGAGTAATTCCTCAGCTTTCTGACACTTTCATGGAGGGGATGTTCCCCATCTTCAACACCACGAAGAAGGATTTAAGTTAGATTTAGGAGTTGGCCGATGGTAAGGATTAGAAACTTGGGAGCCATTTATGGAAGGAGGTGGTGAAGTGTCCCTGGAGGTCTTTGGCGATGGCTTAGATGTTGCTGACCTGAAAGCAGAGGTGGTTAGAACATGCTGGATTCGCATATTATGGATTTCATGATATCTTTGAGAAAGTCCTCGAGGTTCTCTTTGGGGCAACATGGACATGGCTCGTCCTCGCTTAGGAGCTGGAGCCCCTTATGCTGGGCAATTAAACTGCTCACAGTTTAGAGGTGAGTCAGCCCTTCCTTGATTCAGAACAGCTGAACAGCTCTTAATTCAGAGGCACCCTAAGGAAAACAAGTCTGCTTTAGACGCTTCCAGAACTTTCGACCCAAGGCACCAGGTAGCAAGCCTATAGCTGAGAAATAAGGACATTTAGGCGTCACCCGAAGTTTAGACACTCACGAGTCCCAGCTGCCAGGTCCTTTCTCAACCACTACCAAAGTGAGGGGTTCAGGGTGACAGGCAGAAGCGTTATGGGTCATGCTGAGAGCTGGGCTCTCTGGCTCATGGAAGAGCAGATCTCAAGGGTTCCAACCCGTACTGAAAGGGACGATGTGTGTGAGTATGTGGCAGTGCCCGGCCAGCCAAGGAAATTGTACTGGTGAACGTTTAAAACGTTAGTCTAGTAAGAATCAAGGTGCCTCCCACAGGAGGGAGACGGCTCACATAAACACTTAAGTTAGCAGAAGAGCCAGCTATCTGTCTAAATGGACGGCACCTGTCAGGTGAGCAGGGCTCACTCTATTGGGTACGTGCGTGTCCTTGACGCGAGGCCATGCTGGAGGTCAGGGCCTCGCTCACATTCTGGATTTGCATCGAGTGGCGTTACCACGTGAATCCCTCCCAGAAGCCTGTGTCTGCGTTGGCAATTTGAACAAAGCCAGGAGCAGCTAATATAGTGATTGGCTGTGCCAGCGGGTGGTAGACTCGCTGGAGGCTAAATCAGAAACAGAAAGGGGAAATGTAATGGTGTTGAGCTGAATATCTTGTCATCCAACTTTTAAGATGTAGTCACGTAATATCAGGTTCCCTTTCCAGTGTGTCCTGGGAGATCAATGCCACACACTGGGGGTGGGGGGTAAGAGAGGACTCTCTAGAAAGAGCTGACTTGGAGTTGGGGGCAGTGTTTGGAAATGAGTAGGTCATTATAATATTTACATATTTATGTAAAATCTTTATGTACATATTTCTCTTTCCATAAATGTTTATGTCGAGTTTAAATAACAAATCTAAACACCAGTTTTCTCTAACTTTTTTTTCTCTCCAGTAATTTCCTTCATTCCCTAATGCTTGTTATTCCCTGGACCCACTCTTTTTTGTGTATTTTCTAAATTTATAGGCACATAATTCTCAGAGTTAACTCTTTTCCTCTTTATTTCCCTGGTCATTAGCTAATGTTAACAGCCCAGTTAAATCCCATGTTTTTAACCCGTACCTTCATTGAAGGGAGAAAGTTTTTACCCTCAGTAAATTTTTCTTGATGTAATTCTATTTTAATTTGATTGTTCATGATTTCCTCAGTATACACAGACTAATATGTTCACTTTAAGCATAGCTGACACTAATAATTGCATTTCGTCCTGGATTGTACCACAATATTTTACACTTGCTGACATGTAGCTCTCTCCTGACTTTATACTATATGCTTGATTTTCAGAGAAATAGAATGTAGAATAGTCCTATTTCAAGGAATATAAAATGAACATGATCACTAATGTTAATTATTTATATTCCTCAAATGCTATTAGTACATACATTATTAATAAATGGAGTTCTGTGAAGTAGAGCACTTTTGGGTAGTGGAGGAAAGAAATGACTGGAGATGCAATCATATGTCTAACACACTGTTCTGAAACTTGACAACCTGGCCTTATTTCTAGAAAATCAGGCTTCAGTGATAGCCATCGTGAGTAAATCACAAAACTTCTTGCAGATGGGATCCGTGCAAGGCCGGGCTGCTTGTGCAACTGCGTGGACTCACAGGGGCTCTGCTCGCCAGGTTCAGACCCTCACTCAGCCAACAAACTTTGAATAAAAATAAATATTGACAACAAGAGGGGCTGCGTGGTGGCTAAGTCATTGCTAAGAATCTCTAGAGAAGATACCAGTTAAGGTTCTTTCTAAATCACTTGATACCCGAGGAAGGAGGCCGCGGGCAGACACGCTTACATTAAAAACAAAGGAAAGAGGGGACATGAGACGTGGTCTGGGAACCTGCAAACCACCGCGTGCACAGGGGCAGATGTGGGGCTCTGTGTGTGCCTGGAACCCTCCAGCGGGGCCCCGGAGGTCAGGTCTGAGCAAGGGGAGGCCTAGTTTGCGTGGGCTCAGCGAGCCCCAGGCGGGCGCGGGGAAGGGGTCAGCGCGCCCCAAGTGGACCTCAGGGGTCTCCCCGACAAGGCGGCGAGGGAGGTGGCCTCCCGAAGAACCTCAGGCGTCGAGGGGGCATGTCTGCACGCAAGAAGGGGTCCCGGCGGGGCGAGCCTGCGGAGGAACCCAGGGCAGAGGGGGGCGGAGCAAGGCGGGGCCGAGCTGCCCAGAGCTGCAGGTGCCTCTGCACGCGGGGCGCAGGTGGGGGCGGCGCATCCCGGCCGCCCAATGGGGAGCTCCGCTGGGCCTGCAGGTGAGCCCGCTGCAATCACAGGCGTCCCTATAAAAGGGAGGTGCGGGGCCCGTGCAGGTTTCCATTTGTGGAGTTGGAGCCTGGCGTCGAGGACTCGCAGTAAGTGGGGCGCTTCGCGGAGCTGGGGCGGGGGGCCGAGGCCCTGCTCTGGGCCGTGGGACTCCTGCCGGGCGTCTGGCCCCCCGACTTGCACCGTAACACATTCCTGGGGTGGCCTAAGCCCCTCAGGTTAGGTTGGGGAGTTACTCGGGAAGGCAAAAGTAGCTCATACAAGCAAAGACCACATTGAATGTGGGGAGCAAAGAACATGGGGTCGAGAAAGATGGGGTGCGGCCTGGCAGGATGCCCTGGGACCTGCTCATACTTTGGGTTTGAAGCTGGGGGGCGTCTCTGGGTTTGGGTTGGGGAGGGATGGCACTGGGGGTGTCTTGGGTTAGCCACCCACAGAAAGGGGAGACAGGACACCCCCCCGGGAACGTAACAGCATGGACACAACTGGCTGTGTCTGCCCGGGTCGGGAGGTAAAGGCTGGAGACGCCAGCTTGGGGGTCCCGGGGGGCTGGAGACGCCAGCTTGGGGGTCCGGGAGGCTGGAGACGCCAGCTTGGGGGTCCGGGAGGCTGGAGACGCCAGCTTGGGGTCCCGGGAGGCTGGAGACGCCAGCTTGGGGTCCCGGGAGGCTGGAGACGCCAGCTTGGGGTCCCGGGAGGCTGGAGACGCCAGCTTGGGGTCCCGGGAGGCTGGAGACGCCAGCTTGGGGGTCAGGGAGGCTGGAGACGCCAGCTTGGGGGTCAGGGAGGCTGGAGACGCCAGCTTGGGGGTCAGGGAGGCTGGAGACGCCAGCTTGGGGGTCCGGGGGGCTGGAGACGCCAGCTTGGGGGTCCGGGGGGCTGGAGACGCCAGCTTGGGGTCTCGGGAGGCTGGAGACGCCAGCTTGGGGGTCCGGGAGGCTGGAGACGCCAGCTTGGGGGTCCGGGAGGCTGGAGACGCCAGCTTGGGGGTCCGGGGGGCTGGAGACGCCAGCTTGGGGGTCCGGGGGGCTGAAGACGCCAGCTTGGGGGTCCGGGGGGCTGGAGACGCCAGCTTGGGGGTCCGGGGGGCTGAAGACGCCAGCTTGGGGTCCCAGGAGGCTGGAGACGCCAGCTTGGGGGTCCGGGGGGCTGGAGACGCCAGCTTGGGGGTCCGGGGGGCTGGAGACGCCAGCTTGGGGGTCCGGGGGGCTGGAGACGCCAGCTTGGGGGTCCGGGGGGGCTGGAGACGCCAGCTTGGGGGTCCGGGAGCTGGAGACGCCAGCTTGGGGGTCCGGGGGGCTGGAGACGCCAGCTTGGGGTCCCGGGAGGCTGGAGACGCCAGCCTGGGGGTCCGGGGGGCTGGAGACGCCAGCTTGGGGGTCCGGGGGGCTGGAGACGCCAGCTTGGGGGTCCGGGAGGCTGGAGACGCCAGCCTGGGGGTCCGGGGGGCTGGAGACGCCAGCCAGGTGGCGGGGTGGGGTGGGGAAAGCGTGGAGACGCCAGCCGGACCCCAGCCTGAGCGGACGGCGGGGAACGCCCCGGGACGGAGCGCAGGTGAGCGCGGGCTTTCTCTGTTGGCTTCTTGGTCCTGAGTCGGGGTGCAGCTCTCTGAGGGGGCGGGGCGGGTAAGCGTATGGGGTCCATTTGTGGGGTCCGTGTGAGACAGGCCGAGTCAGTGCTGCCATTTACCCGGGATTGAACCCACGTTGCTTCCATAATAAACTGATTGGGGGGCGCGGCTTGAGGTTCCCGAGTGAGACCCGGAGGAAATAAAGTGTCTCATCTGAGTTGAAGTTTTTTCTCAGACTGTTCAAGACTCATAGGCTTTTGGGGGGGGCGCGGGGGGAGTCTGTATGTCCGCCTCAAGCCCAGGCCGGTGCTCTCAGTCCACCCAGGTCTTAGGGCCCCCGGAGCGGACAGGCCTGGACTGACAGCAGCGTGAGATGCTGGGGAGGGGCTGATGGTGGTGGCGCAAGGTGGGGACACCTGACGGGACACCCTAACCCTACCTCAGTGAAAAACAAGTCTTGGCTCAGTAAGTCTCGGGGGAGTCCTGGCGGACAGGACCCTTGGCTGCCTGCACCCCTCCTGATTCCTGCCCGTCTCAAGGCGCCCCACTTCTGGGCTACCGATGTGACCCCGGGTGGCTAGACAGGGGTTTGGAGTTCAGATTTTAATTTAACTGAGGTGATGTTGGGGTACCTGGTCAGGTGTCACCACCCCGTAGGGCACCACCATGGTCCATTGAGCTCTTTCTCGGAGGGTTTCATCAAGAATTGCTGTGTATGCTGAGAGCACGCCTGTTCTCCCCACACAAAGAAGGGGGACTTCTGAGAACTGGGCAAATGTGGGGCTGCTGGGGATGGCCACCTGAGGGCAGGGGAAGTCAGCTTGTTAAGGGAGCAAGTGGTGCCCATTTAAGCCCTTGGTCTTTGTTTTTCTGGCCTCAGCTCGCGCAGCTGGAGCTGGCATCCTTGATTGGTAAACAAGGCTCTTCCCGAACAGCTCTCACCTGTGGCCGCCCCAGCAGCTCTCAGTCTTGTGTGTCCTGCGCGAGCCTTAATTGCCCATAGGCTGGCTGCATTCTAGGGCTGATTAAGTGCCCAGCGCGCCAGGTGTGTGCTATAGAAACTTGTGCCTGAAGTCCTGAGCCCATGTGCGCTTCTGGCCTCAGTCACTCCAACCCCTTCCCACCCCCCAGGGTTCTGGGCCTGCCCTCTGTCCCCACGTGGCATTCATTGGGCATGTCCAGCAGCAGCTGAGGCCCAGACCAGCTTGGACCACACTAGAGTGGCCTCCTAGTAACTCGTATGTTACCCTGAAGACTGACTTGCTTTCCAAGCAAGGTCATAGTCGCACACCATCCACACCCTCTGTGCAAGTCAGCCTGCTCTTGTCCCCACACACCACTCCAGTCATCCTCAGTTTTCAAAGGGTTCGCTCTGGGCCTGGCATACAGGTGGCCCTCCAGGTAAATACTGAAGTGCAAGGTCGGGGCAGGGCCACGAAGAGGCAGAGATTCAATAAAGCTGTGGTTGTGCAGTGTCCAGAGGCTCACACTCTAGGGGCCTGGAAGCCCGTGTGCTGTGGGCCAGAGTGAGGTTAGTGGCAGGGAGGGCGGGAGGTAAGTCCTTTGGGTGTCTCTGCCCAGTGTCAGGGACCCAGTGACTTTGGGGCCTTCAGGGCAGGTGGCAGCTTTCTGAAGGGGCATTTTTGTTTAAAGTTTGTTCCACCAAACTACCTGCACCCAGACCCATCTGCCTTCCTAAGGAGGGATTTAAAGATGCAGGAAAGACTGGAAAATGGGTTGCTAATTGGCACAACTTACTGTTGATGCAGGGCTGGGGGGGGGGGAGTGTCCCGTCTGAAGCTGCCATGGCCCATCAGAAACTGCCTCCTCCGCCCAAGGGTCCCACTTCCAGATCGAGAGACCAGGTGCATGGTTCTCCCTCACTGTTCATGTGTGTACTTGGTGATTTACAGTGTTGCATGTGCTGTGGCTTTTAACTGAGCGTGTTCTCCTTCCCAAGAATGCTGCTGTATTTGCTTTGTCCTCAAGTCTGTCCCGAATACCCCACTGGTGGGGCAGGTCTGGAGCTGGGTCCCCTGTCCCGGCCGCTCTGGCCCTAGGGGCCTCAGCTCCTCGCTTGAACATGCCTCCCCTTCATAGCTTATCTGTAAGATGTCAGAGGAGGAAGGAACCTTGGTTGTCTCGGCAAAATCTTTACCTCACGCCCAAATCCGTCTGGCCTCCTGATAAACGATCAGACAGGCTGGCGATGGGCTCCTTCTGCAGCCCATGGTGTGTTCATTTGGCTCCAATTTCTAGAAAGTTTCATGCTGAATGAATAGACCCACCGCTTTGAAAAGGCGGTCTGACTTCTGCAGTGATGGAGCATTTCATTCTCCTTAAATCTGACAACGCTAAGTGTCTGAAGACAGGGCGCATGAACCTCTTAAGTCTCCTAGGCTGAGCCAGCTCGTTTTCCACGTCACCAGTGTGTTCAGCTGTGCTTCAAACGTCAGGTTTTCTTCCTTGCACTTTCCAGGTTGTATTTCTCCTACAGCACCATACGTGGCTCCATCTTTCTCCCGATCCAGGATCCAGGCCTGGAGCAAAGCCGCCAGGTGCTGTGTGATGGAGAGCATCTCTGTTTGCCGTAATCAGAGAAAATGGCTAGCGATTACACCCCTGGATACCCTTTTCCCTATAAGCTCTTCTCTCCCACCTCAACTTAGCCTTTTCTGCTCAATCTTGTTGTCGAGATCAATTCCTTCATTTAATACAAATCTGTTGAGCATGTTCTGGTAAGAATTCTGATGCATTGGGCTTAAGGAGTGGGATAAACCAGTGTCTGCCGTTAAGGACAGCGGGGCGGGGAAGCCATGCCAAGGGGGCAGAGGGAGAGCTTGACACCGGAGGAAGGACCTAGATGGAGGTGGGTAACAGCAGGTGTGGGGTGAGCGCGGTGCTGGGACAGCTAACGCAGTTATGTATTGTCTGTGGCTGCCCCAGAAAGGGTGATGCAGGCGGGAACCATAGAGCTAAAAACACTCGCTCCCCGACCCTTTAAGGAAGAGTCTGCTAAACCCTGATCTAGAAAAATCAACCAAATAAGAGAAGAAGGGTGAGGAGGGGTAACTCTTGACGGGTCAGAGGGAGCCAGATGGATGAGCTGACCTGGGCAGATGCTGGGGTAGTCCAGGGAGACGCCTGCGGGAACTGCAGGATCCCTGGTCCTGGGGCAGGGTGGGCCCGGCCAATCCCGTTGCCTGGAGCAAAGCAGTCGGGTGAGAGCCATGGACCTTACTCAGGTGAAGGGAAGCAGGCAGGTTGTGGGCGAGCAACCCTGCCCTGCCACGGCTTGGGGTCTGTGCCAGAGGTGACCGCAGCCAGATCTTGAACACTTGAGAGTGGAGTCCCCGTGACTTCCTGGCAGTGGCTGTGGGGTGAGGGCAGGAAAATCAGTGACATTTCCACCTTAATTTTATTTACATAAAATTGTAAATTTACCTAAAGATGCAAAATTGGTTCAAGGACATTGTTACAGGTTTACTAGATTTACCTAACGTTCTGCCTCATTTGCTT